ACACACAAAGGGCATATAATATGCTCAAAATGTATTTTTAACAGACAGACAGACAGACAGACAGACAGACAGACAGACAGACAGACAGACAGACGAGGTCCGTTTGTCCACCCTTTCCATGTGGCCACAGGTGGCGTGAAGACAAGGACCCGAGAGTGCACGAAACAGCCGTGTAATGAGCCGACGTCACAGGAGGCCGCCTGTAATGAACAAGACTGTCGTAAGTACATGATGTAATGTTTTGAGCAAGACTGTCGTAAGTCTACATATTATTATGATTATAAAGTTTTGAGCAAGACTGCCATTGGTGCATGTAATTATTTTTTTTGGTAATGATCTGAGCAAAAACTGCCGTGCCAAGGCAGGCAACGTATCTGCACTTTTTAGGATTTTGAGTTACGTCGCGCAGCGTTTCAGAAATATGGGCATGGCCCTTCAGTTACGTCTGTTTGCCCTAGTGAAATATCCTATTTGTAGTGCAGATACGTCTTCCTGCCTTAGACACAAGATGCAGAATTGGTATTGGCGTCCATTTAAACGAAAATGCAAAAATATATAATTTTTGGCACGGCAGAAAATGTCTTTATTATACTGTTCTGAGCAATACTGTCTTCAGCGCATGTAATGTTCTGAGCAAAAATGTCTTTATACATATTATATGTACTGTTCTGAACAAGACTGTCTTTATTGCATGTCGTGTACTGAGTGAAACTGTGGTAACTACATGACGTAATGATCTGAGCAAGTTTGTCGTAAGTGCATGTGTGTGTAATATTTTGAGGAAGACTGTCTTCTCTTAAGTGCATGTGTAATGTTTTGAGCACGACTGCCATTTAGTAATGGATGTAATGTTTTGAGCAAGACTGTCACTGTCATTAGTAATGGATGTAATGTTTTGAGTAATATTGTCGTAATAAGTGCAAGTACAGTACAAGTACAAGTAATGTTCTGAGCGAGGGAAAGACTGTCGTCCTAGTGGTAAGAACAGATTCGAATCCTGGACGTGCTGGAATGTGGGTGGTCGTATCCTGGATAATAATATAAGTTTTGTTGTTTGTATTCGCTGTTCGCTGGTCGTTTGGGGTTGTTTTTGGGGGGTTTTTTGTGGGTTTTTTGGGTCTTGTTTGGGTCGTTTTTTCTTTTTTTTTGGGGGGGGGGGGGAGGTTGGGTTTGTTTGTTTTTATTGAATTCATAGTATAGATTGTGAAGCGCATAGAGCTTGCTGATGAGCGGGGATTTGCGCTATACAAATGCTATCTATTTTTATTCTATTTATTTGCGTGTGTATCCCGAATTCCAATTTTTTAAAGCCACCAAATGCATTGTATGTTGCCAGTTAGCTTTTTTATAAATGTGCGCTACTGTATTATCATGGTGTTGTTACAACACTGCCTGCAAGTTATTCCAGTCTTTGAGACACACAAGCAAAGTAGGCCTACCCGCACATGTTTTTATTCGGTTTTTGTTTAGTTGTTTTTGTTGTTTCTGCTGGGGGGGGGGGGGTTAAACACAGTTAGCGGTACGGTAATCTAGTGGTTAGGCTCTTGACTCATAATCGTAAGATTGTGGGTACGGGGATTCGAGACTCCACTCCGTCAGACGTTGTGTCCTTGGGAAAGCCATTTGCATGAATTTTTCCCGTTCGACTCAGTCTTATCGGAGACAGACAGGTGTTAAATTCTAAGATTCTAAGGTCCTGCCTGTAAAAAAAAAAAACAACCAACCCTACTAAGTTGTAATGGGCGTTAAACATATACGATTTTAAAATGTTTAAGGTAACAACTAATGCAGTGTGTAGAATGACGGAGTAGTGATGATAATAAAAGATGTGAAGAGCTTATTCATGCTTCGCTACGGCTCCTGCTTTTGCTGCTGCTGGTGATGATGATGGCGGTGCTGCTGCTGCCGCTGCTATTGCTTATACTCGTATATGGAGAAATTTGAATTACAGAGAAAAATAATATCGTTAAAGAAAAACACACACACACACACACACATACATCAAATGCATATACATGTACATGTGTATATACTAGACAATAGTTTAGATGTTACATCAGCCTCAGATCATACATAACTCATGTTTCACACCATTGTGGACAATTATTATTATTGTAGCCTACAGCCTACATTTATCATTTTACGTTTTTGTTTTGAAAGGGACAGACTTAGTTTTTGTAAATCTGTTGGAAAGCAGTTGTCGTAAATATGTTGGAAAGCGTTCTCCATTACTAGATCTAGAGCTATTACTGTGTGTCTTTCAGCTATTGACGGTGGTGTTGGGGAGTGGGGAGACTGGTCGCCGTGTTCTCGGTCTTGTGGAGGTAAGCTGTGTGTGTATGTGTATGTGTATGTGTGTGCGCGTGCGTGCGTGTGTCTGTGTGTATACATTTGTATGTGTGTCTGTTTATATGTCTGTCTGACTGTCCAGTTTCCCTCTTACTTTGTTGATGTTTTTTTCTTCTATCAAGCGTAGACTGCCGCTCCCCGTTGTCATACACAACAGTCCTCCTCAACAAAAACAACCCCAAGATCATGCAAAAATTAAAGATGATTTTATTAATACTAATTTAAATACTGATGATGATGATAATAATGGTGAAAATAGGCCTTTTATTTAATTTAATGATGATGATAATGATGATGATGATTTTTTTTTCCCTTAACCTGGCGGACTCCACGAAGAAATCTGTGAGCGAGAGCGAGGCTCTTTGATGATGATGATGATGATGATGATGACGATGATGATGATTTTTAACCAAATGTACCATAAATTTGTCAAAATATACCCCAATATCTATTCTTAGTCTTAACTCTTCAACAGTGATGATGATGATGATGGTGATGATGATAATGATAAGGAGGAGGAGGAGGAGGAGGAGGGGGAGAGGAGGAGGGGGGGGGCTAGAATGACCATTGTAATTTTTTGTGGAAAAAATTTTGACCTTGGCATTATTGTCCGTCCATCAGACGGAGAAAGAACGCGGTACCGTTTTTGTGACAACCCGGCCCCCGACCATGGGGGGAGGGACTGTGGTGAGGGGGATCTCACACAGACTGAGGAATGTGGCCAGCAACTTTGTGGTGAGTCTATTTGTGTGTGAGAGAGAGAGAGGGTAGAGAGAGGGGGAAGGGGTGGGGAGAGAGAGAGAGAGAGAGTGAGGGAGAGAGAGAGAGGGGGGGGAGAGAGAGAGAGAGAGACATAGAGAGAAAGAGAAACAGAGAAAGAAAGAGAGAAAGAGAAACAGAGAAAGAAAGAGAGAGAGAGAAAGAGAAACAGAGAAAGAGAGAGCGCGCGCGTGCGAGAGAGAGAGAGAAAGAGATAGAGAGAGAGAGAGAGAGGGAGAGAGAGAGAGAGAGAGAGGGAGAGAGAGAGAGAGAGAGAGAGAGAGAGAGAGAGAGAGAGAGAGAGAGAGAGAGAGAGAAAGGAGGAACTCACACGTCAGAAATATGAACTTGTCTTCTACCTTCTACACAATGGCTGTGTATAGTGATGGTACGGTATGATCCTTACTTTTAACATCAACTCCCTACGCCTCGTACTCGTAGATAGAGCATAAGCACATAAGCATCTACCCCAATCCATACTAAATACAGTGTAAGTCCGTAATTACTATTAATCTTTTTTTTTACACAGATTGTATAACAACAGAGACACCCTGAGCTGGCCAGCCACAAGACGCACAATGCACACGGGAGTGAAAAGAGACTGACCGCAATAAAACTTCACACTTCTAATCCAGAATGTCTCCTTTTTTTTCTTTCTCTCTCTCTCTTTATGTAAGGGGATAGGGCTTACGTTGAATGCCCAACTACATGTATTGGCATCCAATTTAAAAATTGAAGCGCTTTTTTTTTAGGGGGGGGGGGAGGCTACACATGAAATAACTCCTGCGGCGATTATTCAAAATTTTGACAGTTATCATGTTTTAATGTCTTTATATAATACAATTAGTTAAAAATCTAAATAACATGGCACAGAAAGAAGTGCAGTCCCATCCCACCACTAATTCAATAAATACCAATCCTAGTAAAGCGCAACATTTTCTATTTTATCTGCCTCTCTGTTATATAATAAACTTGAAATATTATTAACCGTATTCTTTTTCCCAAATGTGCAATGAGCCATATGCGAAATAAGGAAGATGAATAAAACCATTATAATATGTTAATGTCTCTTTGTTTAAGTTGTGAGCTTTGATATAGATGTGAATCAGACCATGAAATGTATATTTACATAGGTACTTTATTGACGGTATAATTTTAGAAAAAGGGACTAAGCAGTTACTACACTTAACTTATCTTTTACTGTCAGTAATTTTACGCCCTATCAACACAATTTAGATTATTACGGAGGCGGGCTACTACCCTGCCTGTTAAGCCGAATCTGGGCTGAGAGGGATACAACAACCCAACAGAAAGACCAAGATAATTGATAAGAATTCTCCCCTCATGGGCCCAGGCCTTTTTTGTGCATCTGTAAAGCACCGAACTTTTACATCACAGTAAGGCAGAAAACGATCCTTTGTTCCCTAGGTAGAGTGCTATGAGAAGTTATGCTACAACTTAGAAAAAATTATTATCTCAAAAGACAAATGAACGTTATCTCGATTTCAAAATCTCAAAGTCCAACACCGATAGAACAAAAAAGGTTAGTTTATTAAAACCGTTTTATTTTTTTAATGGACAGCCATTAGATGCAGAAATTAGAGTGCTGAAAAATTCCAAACTTTATGCAGATCATCTGAAAGTGAAAGCAGGATTTGAACTCAGGACTTCAGGGTTGCAAGAAAGACTCATTATCATGTCGCCTCAGTTATCACTAGAATCTTTTCCTTTCAGTATAGCGATAGCTTTGGATCACCAGAATATTGAATATTACCAGATACATAGAACCTATATTACCATTTCAGTCTAACATGACAAGGGCCACATTGAAAAACTAATAGCAAATGTTTTATACCTCTTTAAACACAATTTTAGAAGATTTAGGAGACAGACTGCTTCAATTCTGTCTGTCACAGCCAACTCAGACTGAGTGGGGTACTGTATCCCAGCAACAAGTTGGAGATACTCACATCTTCCACGTTCAACAGCAAAGTCAGCGAAGAGACTAACCACTATACCGGTACCACAAGTGTCAGTGGGTACACACAGACACAGCAGAAGCAATTAATCAATGTAAAAAAAATGTTTTTTAATTCCAAAGATTCTTACAGAAATAAGAGTGAACACTGAGCACTTTTATACTTATTGCATTTTTATTTTTATATGCACATATTAAAATTGAATTTTTTCATGACAATCACAACAAAGAAAAAAGAGTACATAAAGCTAGGAATACTCAATGTCTTGAAATCTGAGGAGAAAGAGAAAAAAACAAGATAAATAGGACTTTAATAAAAGCACATGAATTGTATTTTTTTAAACTTTTGTACAAAAGAAAAATGTACAATATAGTGGGTCATCTGTTTAGACATCTAACGCTTTTTTTAAAAATAGCTATCAGAACTATAGGTGAAAAATTAAATTTCTACATTGCTATGAAGAGAAACACAACAATGGCATATTCTGATGCAGTGTATCTATACAGCACAGTGGTCGCCAACAAAGAAAATCCTCTCATCAAGAGATAAAAAAGTGGGTCCTTACGCAGACCAGGTTCTTAGGCAGATTTAAAAGTGCACAGCACAGCTCTTACTGTAGGGCATCCTGGTTACCTCACTTGTTTATTCTATGCTGACCCAAAAGGGAAAATAACACCCAATAGAAAGAAAATGTTTGTTTCAGTACAGTCTTTACAGCGCTCACAACTAGACTGCACAAGGTCATATGAACGCCAAGGGGTGGATTTCAACAGAGAAGTCCATACAGGGAATAATGCTTACTCGGCTCACCTCTCTAGCTTCAACAGCACAAAGTCTGCTTCGACTATCAAGGCACCCCGGAAATAGCGGGTCACAAGAGAGTGACATACATACAAAAAAAGTAGAGGAAAATGACGAGAGTAAGGAATAGGAAAGAAAAAGCAGCAGTTCCCTGCATGCAGGTCAGGAACAGTTATGAGGCTGACATTCTTATTTCCAATTAGCTTAACAAAATTACACATAAAAAAATTAATTCATCACCCATAACTATCCACTCACTTGCATTTGATACATGTGTAGAAAACAGTTTGCCCTTCATCTGCCGAGCGTGTCTGTCGCGTTGTGTACGTCATAATGTCGTGATTACATCGCGGGCATTGGCGCTCCACCTGATGGAAGAAACAAATGTGAATAGAAGCAGATGCATCGACAAAGAAAAGTCTTGAAAAAGAAGATAGAGCAAAAGATCAAGACATAGATGAAGGATAAAGCTCTGCTAAGACTGAGAGAAAAGTATGAGAATCACAGCCTTTAACCACTACAAAGATGCATGATACATATGTAAAACCCTGGTGCATTTAAACTCTATTATTTTATTATAGTGACAAGGGTGATTTAAAAAATACAAACTTCTCACTTCAGGTATTCTACAAGAATAGATGTCAAAACCACCCAGACCCTTGCAAATGGATTTTACAGACAAAAATGCAGGCAATGAAAGTTGTGATGTTCACAAATTACTCCCTTGAATACACAATACTTTCAGAAAAATAAGGTTCTGCAACCTACCACTATATATTTATTTATTTTTTTTTTTTTTAATGTTCCTATCATGAATACAGTAATAAACTTGCACACACATGCACAGACACATCCACACACGTGCAAAGAAAATGAATGCAACCACGAACAAGCACACAGAGGGAGGGAGGGAGGGGGAGAGAAAGAGAGAGAGAGAGAGAGAGAGAGAGAGAGAGAGAGAGAGAGAGAGAGAGAGGGAGAGAAAGAAGGAGAGAGAAAGAGGGAGGAGAGAGAGAGGGGGGGAGAGTGGGAGGAGAGAGAGAGGGGGAGGGAGAGGGAAAGAGAGAGCATGGAGGGGGAGGTAAAGAGAGAGAGAGATACAGAAAGACAGAAAAGGAGAGGAGAGATTTCAGATTCTATCGGTATGAAAGGCCTTCGGCCTATACATCCACACATTATAAATTATAACATATGCCTCTGCAAATACATAATTAGGTGCAGAACAAGAGAGAGGCACAGACAGACAGACAGACAGACAGGCAGGCAGGCAGGCAGGCAGACAGACAGACAGACAGACAGACAGAACAGGTCATTATAGACGAAAAAGATTAGAATTGAGACGAATCAGAACAAACAAGCAACCCGAACTTTACAAGTCTCAACAAAGAAAGAATCTAAGAATGTGAAACCAAAAAAGACCCACAGTGGAACAAAGGAAAGCTGACAATAGCACGATGCAAAACTGGAACATCAAACAATTCCTAAATTTCTTTCCCTACTTACAGTGGGACCCTGAGACTCCTCTGCTGTGTCCAACCCAACAAGACTTTCTGTCTCTTCTAGCCTAGAATCTTTGAGCTTCTCTTTCGGTGTATTGTAATGCAGCACAAACTCTTCTATGACACTGTCATCATCTGTTGGGAGAAGTATATCAAGTGAATTTAGAGACTAAACAAACCTGCACAGCAGACATGTAAATGATTAGACATACCAAAGGCAAGGAAGGGTTACCTGAGCTGAAATCCTAACAAAAATATGTGTTACAATGGGGTGGGATCAGGTGCTCATCAATTTTTGGGCATGTTGAGTTATTGATATCATCTAAAAGCTTGTCCATTTGTCTATCTTTCAACGAAACAAATACCCACCTATCTTGAACAGAAGTCGAGATATATGCGATTGAATAAGGTAAGGTAGCCTGGTTTCTCGGGTAAAGTTAGCAAGACAGCAGCTGCCAAAGTCTGGTGATTTCTACAGCTTGAGAGTCCTTGAAAATTGAAAATTTACATTTTCTGTGCCTTTAATCAACATTTTACAGTAAAATCCTCACAATGTTTTAAAGGGATATATAAAACCTGTTGAGCCAAAATAAAAAATTCAATAAAAATTGCCAAACCGGCGAAAAATTCTAAGATCTTTGATTTCATTATTTTGACGAGCACCTGATTTCACTACAGTAGGCCTACTTAACAAATTTTATCTCAAAAGCAGTCATTAAACAGTACAGTCAAGTGACAAGCTCAAAATCTCTCTCTCTCTTGCACTTTTTAACTCCCTGTGCACAGGCCATCAACAACATTACTCCAGCGAAGCCTGTCCTGAGCATCCGTTTCTAGCTGTTTCACTGATGTCTCCGCCTTTTTCAATTTCCGCTTGCATTACTCGCCTCCATGTCATCTTTGATCTTCCCTTCTTACATTTCAAGCTCAAAAATACAGACTGTCAGTCTCATTCGACTGGAAAAGATATATGCTCTTGATGGTAGAAAATGTCCCAAATGTTAAGCATGGCCAAGAGTTCACTGGAACCCCAATAACATTAAATTAAGTTAAGATTGAGACAACTATGATGGAAGAAGAGACATAAACCCCTTATCTCCGGCCAGCCGCTCCCACCAGTGATTTGTTGGCAGTGGCTTGGTCACATTCTTTTACGATGATAAAAAATATATGATAAAGTTTGGGCAATTGTAGGACTGAAAATAGGTCTCTCTTACCAGTTCTTTCTTTAAATGAGTAACTATCAAAATAGGCTCATTTCTTCAGATTAAGTGGACCAATTTAGTAACCTGTATGTCACTTTCGGGTGTTGGGCCTAAAGATACCAAAAGCATAGTGGGGAACAGCCGCCTGAGATAAAGAGTTAAGGTGATTTCCCCATACTGTGTTAAAAAAATCAGACAGACTCCTTTGTAAAGAGAATTGCATTAACCCTTTCTTTTCTCATCTAGAACAAAGTTGAGAAAATTTTCATCTCTTACAAAAAATATTTTTGAATAGCCAGGAACAAAGTTGGACAAAAAACGAGAACTATGTGTTGTGATAACTAAAATTACCAATAGATATAGATTAATTGTTACCATTGACATCCCTTCTGTATGGGCATCTTGCACATGGGATAAGATCTGAATCTATGGTAGGGGGTGGAAGAACAGAACCACACCGGGGACAAAACTGCAGGTCAGATGAAAGACCAGAGAGATTGCTCCCATCTCCAGACATTTTCTGCGGAAAAAAACAAAAAGAAATAGAGTACGGGACAGCAGGGTACTGGAAAATTTCGACTATACCAACTCACTGTTAACCTTCCCGATGTACAAGGGGAGAAAAACCACCAGACCGAAACAGACTAAGACGTCACTACATCACGTGCCTAGCAGTCGCTCAGTGCCACCTTGTCCTTGGAAAAACATTATACTTTAGAAGTGCCGAAGCTAGGAGTACGGTAAACATTAGGTTGACATGGTCTTAGCTTGGCACATTCCTGTCTTTTTGTGCTGTGCCTGACAGTCAAGGCCAGCGAGAGATATTTCTATAAAAAGGAATCATTGTTTGAAACTTAATACGATTAGCCCCCTTTTCTGCCCGCCAAGATTTTTTTTTTATATCATGCCTTAATTTATATTACTTTTATACTTGTTTGACTACAACTCCTGTCCTTGACACCCTAGTCAACAGTTACTGGCGACGGAAACCCCAGAAGATGTCCAAAATAGACGGTGGAAATACGTCTATATTTGGGCCAATCACAGAGGTGTGCTAGGTGCTCGCTGTAGCTTCAAGTCTATTTTTACGCAACTTCCGTTTTTGTTTCCTTTGTAGCCTACATAGCAAAATACAAACCAACAACAACAAAAACAACAACAATGCGGCTACTTTCGATTGGGACTTCAGATGGGAATGGTTTGTTTTCTTCATCTTGATCAGTCCTGCCTAAGACGGTCACCTATCTTATACGGCCACTTTTCTCCTTGACAATGGGTGGCCGTCTTACACAGGTTTGACTGTATTTCCAGCATTTATTAAAAAAATTTTCTATTAGAATGATAACAATTGATATGTGAGCTTTAATATCCAGTTATTAGTTATTAGATCTATCTAAACTGATCCCCTGCGTCATTAGTATGAACAAAACTAAGTTGAGCCGGGGGCAAAGTTAATTAATTATGTCGACCAATGAGACTGCATGTAGCCATATCGCACTCTCTGCTTATGGGGGAAGAGGTGTTGGAAAGAGCTAGGTCAAGGCTGTCAATTTTGTGCGATGTGATTTTTTTTTTTTAATACAGAAAAACTCAACACTCAACAAAATCAAATTAAACATGTGGAAAGACAAATGGTGGTGGAAGTAATGATGATGCTGTAGTGGTGGTGGAAGTAATGATGATGCTGTAGTGGTGGTGGAAGTAATGATGATGCTGTAGTGGTGGTGGAAAGACCCTGAGTTGTCGGTTTCCGTGTACTTAGACACTGCTATTGGGTAGATCTAATGAGAGGGTGCTTTTTCGGTAGTTCCCACCCCCCTTATTTGAGCCTGACCTACATCTAGAACTGATCTAGATCTATACGTTTGATTCGCGGCAAGCTAAGATATCAAACCTAACAACTGCAAAACATTAAATTGTGGTGAAATTCGGGGGGGGGGGATGCCCCCCTGAAACCCCCCACCATAATTTTATTAAGTCAGGGGGGCAAGCCCCCCTGAAACCCCCCTACTCTTGGGGCCAAAACCGGCGAATAACAATTGCGCGGTGGGAACTACCAAAAAAGCGCCAATGAGAATGCAATCAGGGTTAGGCCTATAGGTCGGTGAGTACCACTCACTGATGTGCTCAGTAAACCAATTTTCTTTATTTTTAAAATTCACTTCATCATCATAGTTCATCGACAGAATGTGCAATAAGTATATAATATTTCACGGATCGACAAAAAGCGCTGCGCGATCCGCAGATCAACAGAATGCGCAACAATCGATGGATTGTTGCGTGTTTCCTCGATCAACCAAATGCGCTGCGCGGTCGATGGATCGCGCAAATCGACAGATCGCGCCCAACATACATACCTAACACTAGGCTACATGATACAGCACAGCTCTTCGATTTTGACACATACAGTGATACAGACACAAGACTAAGACTAGTAAGACACAGATCTCCAAATCATGTGGCAAAATCTGCCTACATTTGTCAAATTGGGAAGCACCACTAAATCTAGATCTAGATCTAGTAGATCAAGAGAAAAATCTAGATTATAGAATCTAGACCTAAATCTAGATCTAGATTCTAGACTAGAATCTAGATATATATCTAGATCTAGATATCTAGATCTATCTAGATCTAGATTAGATCTAGAATCTAGAAGATATAGAATATGAATAGATCTAGATTTTTCTCTTGAGTCTTGATCTACCAGTAGTGGTGCTTCCCAATTTGACAAATGTAGGCAGATTTAGATCTTTTTTATGATAATATTTCAAAACCAGCCTCATCAATGTCATTATCAAACGATAATATAGTTTTCAAAGTGTTTACCTTGAAGGACTTTCACACAATGATTATGTGTACACAACAACGGTTACAACAACGTGAGACTTCCTCAAACGAAAGTGAAACTGTGAATGAGCATGGCCGAACAGCAAATTAGTTAATTATACATTTGGAACCTAAGCTCAGCAGTTTTAAATGCAGATCCAAACGTACTTGTTTCCATTAGAATCTAATACTGTATTAAATTTTTCGTTTTATAATATTATCAACTCCCATCGTTCAAATAATATTATTATGTTTTCACAGATATATTAAGTTACCTAAAACGTTTTGGGCATGAGGGAAAGAAGACGAACGATGAAAAGGAAAACTCTAATCGGCACAGCAGTGAATGAATAGGCAAAGTGCACAGAATTCTACGCTTGGTGTAATATTGTGCAATATTTTGAGTTACTCCCCTTACGTTTTAATTAGTGTAGAATTCTGTGCTTTCTCCTCACTGAATCTCTTTTTTTTTAGTAGAGGTTTTTACGGCGCTCACAACTGCATAATAAGGTCATATGAGCGCCAGGAGATTAGAAGTGTTACAAGAGAGTAACAAACATAAAAAAGAAGGAGGGGAGATACTGAATCTCTTGAGAAGTGATGATTAGAAGACATCCTGTAGAGGGTTAGGTTAGATCACAGAATTCTACACTTATTAAGTGTAGAATTCTGTGGGTTAGATATACCTGGCATCTTTTGAAAGTCACGGCCTTGTGTATTTGGAAATCAGAAATAACTTTTCAATATTTTAGAATCTTGCTTTCCTCAAAACTGAGATAGTGTAGCAATGCCCATAAATTAAGATGTGGTATAATATTATGAGACAGACAGACAGACAGACAGACAGACAGACAGACAGACAGACAGACAGACAGAGAGATGTGACTCAACTGGGGAAAAAAATAAAAGTGGTTATTTGGATGTGGGCGAAAGAATGATTCATTGATAACCCTTTTCCCCCAAAAAGTACGCAAAACGCAAAGAAAACCCCCAAAAATCTTAAAACATCTTTAGTACTTTTGCTTTGCGTTTTTGTTTGTTTTTGTTTTGTTTGGTTGGTTGGGGGGAGTGAAGGGTTGTCAAAATTGGTATGGATCAACGGGAAAATCCCAGAGCTGCTTGTAGAAGAAAAATAACTGTTATCTTGACCTGGGAGATCTGGCGGGGACCTTGGTAAATCCTGACATTAAGATACTTTTT